AAGAAAGACTAGAGCTACCTCTAGTCATGAACAGCAAGAAGTGTGAGTTGGATGAAGGAGAAAGGAGGACCAGGAGAAGGCAGCCAACAGGAAGAAAATGATCCAGAAGGGTAAAAGAAATGGGGCCAGCAAGGATCTATAGACCAGAGGAAAGGAGGCTTGCTCAGCCTAGGGAGGGGAGTAAAGGAGGTTGGGGAGTTAACATGCATTCTAGGCCTCCAGGCTGGGACAGCAGTAGGAAAATACTACAGAGAAAGAAGGAAGTAAGTAATTCATTCACCTTTGGATCTATTCTGTAAAGTGAAGTCTGTACTTATACTAAATATCAAAGTACTAGGGTGCAGAAGAAAGTATGTTAGGGGCTGGGAAGGTGGCTCAGTGGTAGAGTGCTTGCCTTGCATGCATGAGGCCCTGGGTTTGATTCCTCAGCACCACATAAGTACAAAAAGCTGGAAGTGGTGCTATGGCTCACGTGGTAGAGTGCTAGCCTTGAGCTGAAGAGCTGAGAGACAGTGCCCAGGCCCAGCGTTCAAGCCCCACAACCAGCAAAAAAAAAAAAAAAAAAAAAAGTATGTTAGCTGGGTGTCGGTGACCTGTAATCCTAGCTACTCAGAAGGCAGAGATCTGAGGATCACAGTTCAAAGCCAGCCAGGGCATAAAACACCATGAGACTCTTATCTCCAATAAAAACCACTTAGAAAACCGGAAGTGGCACTGTGTCTCAAATGGTTGAGTGCTCACTTTGAGCTGGAGAGCTAAGGGATAGCACCCAGGCCCAGAGTTCAAGCCCCACGACCCACAAAAATAAAAAAGAAAGAAAGAAGAAAGTAAGTAAGTAAGTCAGGGTTGGTTTGTACAAATAATTTTCCCACAACTGAAACTCTGGCTGGAAATTAAGGGTGTATTAGAGAAGTAATGTGATCAAAACTAAAATTTTTTCTTTTTTAGTGTTGGGGTTTGAACCCAGGGCCTTGAGCTTTCTAGCCAGGAAAGCACTCTTACCACTGAGCCACACCACCAACCTGAAATTGGAAATTCCTTGACAGTCATCTTTTTTCACTTTCACTTTTGTTGAAAATTGGTCATATTTTAGAAATGTACAGTGGACCAATTTACACATTTCTGCATTATTTTATGTGTGTGCTAGTAATGGGGCTTAAAACTCAAATCACTTTTTCACTCAAGGCTGAGCTCCACTTCTGGCTTCATGGGGCTTGAACTCTGGGCCTAAGTGCTGTCCTTGAACTTTTTTTTTTTTGGTCCGGTTGTGGGGCCTGAACTCTGGGCCTGGACGCTGTCCCTCAGCTCTTCAGTTCAAGGCTAGCGCTCTACCACATGAGCCACAGCACCACTTCCAGTTTTTTTTCCTTTTTTGCTTATGTGGTGCTGAGGAATTGAACCCAGGGCCTCATGCATGCAAGGCAAGCGCTCTACTACCAAGCCACCTTCCCAGCCCTGTCCTTGAGCTTTTGCACTCAAAGCTAGCACTCTTATCAATTTGAGCCACAGTACAACTTCTCGTCTTCTGGTTCTTACCTGGAGCCAAGTCTCACAGACTTCCCTGTTCTAGCTGGCTTTAAACCTCAATCTTCAGATCTCAGCTTCCTGAGTAGCTAGGATTACAGGTGTGGGTCATCAGTGTCCTGCTCCCCTAGTGCTTCTTCTTCCTTTTCCTTCCTTCCTTCCTTCCTTTCCTTCCTTCTGTTGGTCATGGGGCTTGAACTCTAGGCCTGGGCGCTGTCCCTGAGCTCTTCATCTCAAGGTGAGTGCTCTACCTATTGAGCCACAGCGCCACTTCTGGTTTTCTGGTGGCTTATTGGGAGATAGGAATCTCATGGACTTTCCTGCCTGGGCTGGCTTTGAACCGTGATCTTCAGATCTCAGCCTCCTGAGCAGCTAGGATTACAGAGGGGCCACTGGCACTTGGCCCCTTGTGCTTCTTAACTACTGCAACGAAATAACTACAATCTTGTGTAATTCACACATCCCTCCATCCTTCCACCGGAGTTTCCTCTCATTTCTTGAGTGAGATGAGCAATACTTTGCCTACCTTACTTGGACTACCTGTGAGGTTCGGTAGTATTTACACCTATGCTGGCACAAATCATAGACAATTACTAAGAGGAAAAAAAAGAGGCCTGGAATTACAGGACAAAGAGGCTGCCAAAACAGTCCGTAATTAAACACAGACAGCGCTTGAGACAGAAGGCGAAGGAAAGCTTTTTTTTCTTTTCTTTTTGGGATGGTCGTGGGGTCTGAACTCTGGGCCTGGGCGCTGTCCCTCAGCTCTTCAGCTCAAGGCTAGCGCTCTACCACTTGAGCCACAGCGCCACTTCCGGCTTTTTTCTTTTTGCTCATGTGGTGCTGAGGAATCGAACCCAGGGCCTCAGGCATGGAAGGCAAGCGCTCTACCACTGAGCCACCTTCCCAGCCCCCGAAGGAAAGCTTTTTGTCCTTCCCAGGACACCTTCCCATGGCTTCGCGGTTGTCCGGCTTGAACTCAGGGCCCGGGGGCTGTCATTTATCCTTTGCCCAAGCCCAGGGCTCTGTCATTTTGAGCCTCAGCGCCACTTCCGGTTTTTGAGTGGTTTATTGGAGATAAGAGTCTCAGGGACTTTCCTGCCCCGGCTGGCTTCGAACCGCGAACCTCACCTCTCAGCCTCCGGAGTAGCTAGGATTGCGGGCGTGAGCTACTGACACTCGTAAACTGGCCCGGGGAATCTACCTTCCCGCAGGGCTTCCGAGCTCACCTCGAGGGGGAGCCGCGGACGCCCGGCCCCTCCTACGCCCACCCAGCGAGCGGGCGGGTCTTCCTAGGTGGCAGCTCTGTCACGTGTCTTCCGACGGCGCGCGCGCTCGTGCGTGGCGCATGCGCAGGGAGCGGCCCCGGCTATTTTTCTCCGTGGCGGGCGGCGGCGGCGGCGACGAGCGGAAGTTCTTGGGAGCGCCAGTTCCGTCTGTGTGTTGGAGTGGACAAAATGGCGAAGATCGCCAAGACTCACGAAGGTAAGCGGTCGTTGCCTCGTTGCGAGGCTCTCTTTCCCGGCGCTCGGCTCCCGGCCCTGCCGGCCTGTGTTTCCGCCTCTTCCTGGAGGGGCTTGGGTCGCGGCCTCGCCCGCGCTCCGAGCCCGCGGCGTCCGGTCGGCGTCGGCGGCGCAGGCCCCGGCCCCGCGTAATGGCGTCCTGCTCGAACCTCCCTGGCAGGCGCTTTGTTCCGTGTCGGGGTGCCGCCGCTTGGGGCTGGCTGCTGAGTTTTCCGGCCCGAGGGCCTCGTTGGAGGCTCGGCCTGCGGAGGCTCCGGGCGGCCCGCGGTGGGGGGGGGGAGAGGAAACGGGCGTGGGAGGAAAGCCTCCCTCGGCCCCTGGCTCGGCCTGGGCTAAATCTGCGCTTCGGAGCGGCCAGAAGAAGCCCCGCAGCACGGCAGCCGCTTTCCGGGGGGTGCGGAATCGAGGTGGCTCACCCCCAGGCCCGTTAGGTTTAACCTGGGCAACCTGAATGGCCTGGTGACGGGACGATTGTTGTACGAAATGAGGCGGGCGTCCCTCGCCACTTCCCGAATCGTGTTTGTGTTTCTCCGTGGGGGCCGATTGTTGGAAGAACCGGCGGAAGAGGGAAAGGCACCTTCCTTCGATCAGTGTGACCGTCCTTTTCAAGATAGTTTGATCGTTTTGTGGTATACAGGCTCTACAAAATTTTAGGATGTAGGGAATAGACCGGAATCTATGAGGAGTATCCAGAGAAGACAGGAAAGCAGGAGCGTGGCATGTGAGGACATTTCGTGATTTCTGACTTAAAAGGCGAAAGTTACACGGAACTCAAGGCTTCCAAAAGTGTCACCTCCTTCACACGTCCTTTCTAGGTGTGTGGGTCGGTATTGATGAATTTGAGGGAACTAACAGACTAAGGCTATCAAAATTATACAGTCTTAATGGGGAAATAGATGTGTATGTATCTTAATTTTCTTGCAAGGTCAAATGAATGCTTGAATAGAAGTAAAAGCAACGTATTCAGGAAGCAGAATAACGGAGTGATTAATACATGCCTAGTTATGTCAGAGAGGAGATGACGTGTCTCTGGTCTAAAAACATCAATCGGTTCTAAATTAAGGGAGTGTATTCGAGCCGGAAAGAACATCTCATAAGGCAAAAGGTGTGCTTAAGTTGTCTACTGTGGCGGAAGAGAGTGCAAAGAGGGAATCAGTAAATGAATTGGAAAGGATTGCTTTGGATTAGAAGGCTTTTATTAGTTGGACTATCCAGAAGGACAGTTTTGGAATAATTAGAGCATTTAAAGATGTTGCTGTTCTTGTTGAGGTGTTGATGATTAATGCAGGGAGTTTTGTCACTTTGATTACTTGTTTATTGGTCTCTTCAATGTAACAACCACCAGGAAAATCTAAAAGATCTGACATGAATTATAGAAAACTAGCTAATTGTAGTTCATTGGCAAAAATTGCCATTTTATTTGTGATTATTCCTCAGTGTGAGTTAAAATTGGTACTGTGAAGATTGGAACTTTTATTTTTTTCCCCCCTGGTCGCAGGGCCTGAACTCTGGGCCTAGGCGCTGTTCCTCACCTCTTCAGCTCAAGGCTATCGCTCTACCATTTGAGCCACTGCGCCACTAATGGCTTTTTTCTGCTTATATGGTGCTGAGGAATCAAACTCGGTGCTGAGGAATCAAACCCAGCGCCTCCTGCATGCAAGGCAAGCAATCTACCACTGAGCCACCTTCCCAGCCCCTGGAACATTGGGTTTTGATATTTTGTTGTCTCAAGATGATGAGCCAAGTACTTGCTCTGATTCTTTAATATCCCCTGTATCTGTAGCGTAATCGGTACTCAAATATTTGATATTTATTGACAGATCGATATAAACTGGTTATATCTTAAAAGATACACAAAAAAAGAGAACTTGCCTGTGGTGAATCACTCCGAGTCCCATGGATGCTACACAAGTTCAGGGTTCACCACCAAATTAGCTACATCCTCACCTGGAAAGAGTGTTCACTTCACCATATAATACCAAAATTGGAACAACACCAAAATTAGGATAGCCCCTGTGCAAGAATGACACACAAGTTTGTAAAGCATTCTCTAGTTTTATTTATTTTTGTTGATCATAGGGCTTGAACTCTGGGCCTGGGCGCTGCCCTCAGCTCTTCAGCTCAAGGCTAGCGCTCACTTCTGGTTTTCTGAGTGGTTTATTGGAGATTAGTCTTACTAGGGAAATTCCTGCCTAGGCTGGCTTTGAACTGCAATCCTCAGATCTCCGCCTCCTGAGAAGCTAGGATAACAGGCCTGAGCCACTGGCGCCTGGGTGCATTCCCTAGTTTTAAACTGCATTCCAGTTGGGTGCTGTCTGTTCTTAACTGTTGTTCAAATGATTACTGTGACTGAAAAACTTGAAATAGAAGGACCACTATGTATAGAGACAGCCTGGGATGTTGCCCACATGAACAGTAGCTATGAGTGAAATAAACAAATGGATTATTCAGAACTGTTACTTTTTTTTGCCAATCTTGGGGCTTGAACTGAGGGCCTGGGCATTGTCCCTGAGCCTGTCTCTGCTCAAGGCTAACACTACCACTTGAGCCACATTCCCAACTCTGAAGTTATAGTCTTAATTTTGAATTTAGCTAGCTCAAAAGATAGACTTTTCATTTGTCAAGTCAGTCCTTTAAATTGTAGCCCTCTCTCCCCCTTTTCTTTTGTGCAGGTTCCCAGGCTTGAAAGAGGGCTGTTCCTTAGCTTTTTCCACTTAAGGGTGCTGCATTTCAGGTTTTTTGGTGGTTAATTGGAGATACTCAGATTTTCCTGCTAGCCTGCTTGGAACTGTAATCCAAGATTTTAGCCTCCTGAGTAGCTAGGATTATAGGTAAGAGCCACTGGCGCCCAGGTCTTGAGTTGAAGCTCCAGAACTTTTTTTTTTTTTTTTTTTTGTCGGTTGTGGGGCTTGAACTCTGGGCCTGGGAGCTGTCCCTCAGCTCTTCAGCTCAAGGCGAGCGCTCTACCACTTGAGCTATAGCGCCACTTCCGGTTTTCTGGTGGTTTATTGGAGATAGGAGTCTCACGGTCTCTCCTGCCCGGGCTGGCTTTGAACCACGATCCTCAGATCTCAGCCTCCTGAGTAGCTAGGATTACAGGCGTGAGCCACCAGCGCCCGGCTAACTTTTTTTTTTTTGTGGTGCCAGTCTTGGGGCTTGAACTCCAGAGCCTGGGCACGTCCTTGAACTTTTTTTTGCTTACCACCTGAACCACAGCTCCACTTCAGCATTTTTGGCAGTTAGAATCTCATGAACTTTTCTTCCCCAGGCTAACTTTGAACCATAATCCTTAGATCTTAGCCTTCTGAGTAGCTAGGATTATAGGCATGAGCCACTAATGCCCAGCTTCTAGAACTGGTATTGGGGATTGAATCCAGGGCTTCCATTATGCTAGATAAGTGCTCTAACATTTAAGCTATACCCCCAACCCTTTGATATTTTGTGTTTGCAGATAAGGGTTTATTAACTTTGTTGCATGTTTTGGAAATCCCAGTCTAGCCTGGTAGCTGAAATTATTGATATGAACTATCATGCTTAGCTTTAGACTGTTGGTCTGTGTGTTTTGCTTGGGATTGGACAGAGTAGGCAGGTACCTTCTCCCTTCCAGTCCAGCCTAGGTTTGTTCTATGGATCCGTTTTTAATTTATAGGCACTGGCGGTGCTGGGGACACATGAGGACGGAAGGCCACACACTTAATTGGCTGCCAGGGGGGTGGGAGGCTAGCAGGCAGCCCCTCCAGGGGAAGAAGTAGAGGTTATAGGGTGAGTGCACTTCAGCCCCCACCTTGGTATGGCAGGTACTCTGTGCAGCACAGCCTCGGGTAGCAAATTTAGAATTGATGATTCTAGCCTGGACTAGGACAACTCAAAATTTGAAGGATTACTCATAACTTTGTTTTGTTTTGTTTTTTTTGTTGGTTGTGGGTCTTGAACTCTGGGCCTGGGCACTGTCCCTCAGCTCTTAAGCTCAAGCCACAGAGCCACTTCTGGTTTTTTGGTGGTTTATTGGAGATAAGAGTACCTCGGACTTTCCTGCCCGGGCTGGCTTTGAACTGTGATCCTCAGATCTCAGCATCCTGAGTAGCTAGGATTACAAATGTGAGCCACCGGTGCCCTTTTTATTTTTGTGCGTGTGTGGAGGAGGTCCAGTCGTGGGGCCTGAACTCTGGGCCTGGGCGCTATCCCTCAGCTCTTCAGCTCAAGGCTAGCACTCTACCACTAGAGCCACAGTGCCACTTCCGGCTTTTTTCTTTTTGCTTATGTGGTGCTGAGGAATCGAACGCAGGGCCTCATGCATGCAAGGCAAGTGCTCTACCACTGAGCCACCTTCTCAGCCCCACCCCTTTTTTTAAAATATAATTTTTTTGTTATTAAGGTGCTGTACAGAGGGGTTACCATTGCATTTCTTTTTTTTTTTTTTTGCTAAGCCCTCTTTTCTCAGTTACACATAATTGGTTCCTTTACTCTTAAACTAGTATACCCCAATTTTTTTAAATTTTATTTTCATGGTACTGGGGTATTGGACTTAGGGTCTTGAACTTGCCAGACAGGCAAGGTTAAGCCACACCCCAAGCCCAGAAGCTTACTTTCTATAAGATTAAACATTTATTTATATAACCATAGCAATCCCATCTCTAGCTGTTTACCCAAGTGATACATGAAAACCTGTATATGAATATTCATATCTTCCTTGTGATAGGTATGGACTGCAAATAACTCTTGCACCTCAATTAGAAAATAAGCACACTGTTACACAAAAAGACACAAACTATGTACTAACAAGTAGATGGGTCCATTTGGCCATTGTGTATGTAGTCACGAGGAGGTACCATTCTCTTGCCTAGTAACTAACAGTGTCCATTTTTATTTGTCTTTATATCTGAATGTTTTGTATTACAGAGAGGAGCAAGATTAGGCCAGAACATACAGGTTATTTGTCATAATTGAAAAAGAAAAGGTTAACATACATTTTTCCTCCTTTGCCCCCCTGTTTTAAATTTTTTTGGTCTCTGGTTACTCTTTTGATTGTGTTCTCTCTGATATTTTTTCATAGATTGTATTTAAGAATATTTGTGTTTAGCTGTATGAATTGCTGCTTATATACCAGTAGCTATAATTCAGTGTTTATGTTGAAAATCAAGTTTGGGTTACAGTGTTTGCTTTGCATATGTGAAGCTCTGGGTATGATCCCCAGAATTGAAAACGAAAGGAGGGAAGGAAAGGAAAGGAAAGGAAAATATAGAGTTAACTTTTTTCCTCCTTAAAGATCTAAAATGATCATAGCATTTGAAGTTGTGGATAAAGTTTGAAGTTTTGGAATGTTACAAACCTTTGCACTAATGTATGAGGGAGGGAAAAATTTGGTGAACTAAAGTTGGCTTTTCAAGGCTAGCACTCTACACTTGTGCCACAGTGCTTCTTCTGGCCTTTTCTGTTTATGTAGTACTGGGGATCAAACCCAGGGCTTCTTGCTTGCTAAGCAAGCACTCTGCCACTAAGCCACATTCCCAGCCCCAGCTTTTTAATTATGAAATAATTGAGCATATAGCAAAGTATACAGCAGTGTACAATGAGTTTGACTTCTCATCAATTTTTAATATTGTGGCATATTTGCTTCATCCATTTTACTTATTTTGGAAATGAAACTTAAAACAGGAAGTACTTTATAACTGTAATGATACAAATTTGTTTACCCATAAATATTTTGAGTGTTGTATGTTTTCTGTTTTGACATGTAGTTTATTAAGAAGTGACCTGTCTGGGTGCTAGTGGCTCACATTGAGTAATTCTAGCTACTCAGGAGGCTGAGATTAGAGGATCTAGGTTTGAAGCCAGCCTGGAAAGGAAAGTCCATGAGAATCTCATCTCCAATTAACCAACAAAAAGCCAGAAGTGTAGTAACTATGGCTCAAGTGGTAGAAAGAACACTATACTAGCCTTGAATGAGAAATCTGAGGGACAGCGCCCAGAACCTGAGATCAAACCCAATATACACTTGTGCGTGCGTGCGTGCGTGTTCGTCTGTTAGTTGCCTAAACAAGTTTCTGAGGTTCAAGGCATGTCTGATACCTTCATTTTGTGGATTACATGCATAATAATTGTATAAATGTGCTTCAGTTGATAATTCATTAACAAAATTCATTCGCTTTTTTGATTTTATCCATAGTTTCCAGCAAAGACTGAAAATGATGCCTAGTTTACATAAAAATATTTAACTGTTGAGCCTGTAGAAATGTAGTAATTAATTCCCCTTAGAATTAATTAACTACAAACACCTGCTTGGCCTCAGAAGAGCTTGACTAGATAATTTTATTACTAAATTCTGATTAATATAGAAATTCAGTGATGATTTCATACATTTTATACAAACATTAATTCAGTATTTATGAGCCTTTGTAATTAGAAAACTGTTTCTAATCATAATGTACATAAAATCAGTAGATGAAAGTACTTCTTGAGTAAATATATATTATTATCCAAATGAAGGACTAGTTGCCAAAAACTTAAATGAAAAAGTTCTTCAGAGGCGGCTGTAACAAGTGAGGGGAGAAAGGCAAAGATGTGTTGCAATTGGAATGGAGGCTTAGGGCCAGGTAAAATGTTTTTCTGGATATGTATTAATGAAGGAACAGGCGCTTTTAAGTTAGAGTTCCTTAGTATAACTCAGCCAAGCTACATATTTGTTACAAATTTACCAGGTCATTTTGATTAAGGTGGTGATGTACAGACTACAGTAAAACTGTAGAGGAGAGATGGTGGGCTCTTTGGTTGGCCTAGTTCACTGAATTTTTTCCTCTCTCCCTTTCTCCCTCCTCCTCCCCTCTCCCCTCTCCTCTCCCCTCTCCCCTCTCCCCTCTCCTCTCCCCTCTCCCCTCTCCCCTCCTCTCCCTCCCCCCTCTCTCCCTCCCCCCTCTCTCCCTCCCCCCTCTCTTTCTTCCTCCCTCCCTCCCTCCCTCCCTCCCTCCCTCCCTCCCTCCCTCCCTCCCTCCTTCCTTCCTTCCTTCCTTCCTTCCTTCCTTCCTTCCTTCCTTCCTTCCTTCCTTCCTTCCTTCCTTCCG